AAAAAAAAAAAATTTGTCTGCTGTACAAATTATCACAAAAAAATATAATGAATACTTTATAAGGAAATAATCGATGTAGATGAGGTGATTGGCTATTACCGTACACAAAGAAACAGATGCTACGACCAATAGTGTCGTGACACTACCGCAGAAAAAAGCGCAGCATATCAAGCACCCTGCGGTCAGTTTCGACGCATGCTGCTAAAGAATAATATCGGCAAAAGAGAAGAGAAAAGTAACGTCTTTTCAGAAAAAAAAAAAGCAGAAAGACTTGAGTACGAAGAGCTTGAGATGTTGAGAGGAATAAGGCTCAAAAATTCTACTGAAAAATGGTAGCCTGACAAATGGTTATAAACTCAGAGTTAATTCCTGCAAAAATCAAAGTGGTAATCTGGTGATAGATGTCCAAAACTTACTTGCATTTGAAGGGATTACTTCTAAAAGGCGGTAGTAGTAATGTAACTGAAAGCGAAGATGATACCAAATTTGCAATCGTTGACGATAAAAAAATTGTCCCGCCTCCCGATCATACTGAAGTTAAAACAGCTAAGGTGCCGATGGTTTACGCGCTGAGCTGTTTAAAGCTGGTGGCGAAGAGCTTTAAAATGCTTGCTACAGTTACTTCACACGATCGTTGAATGCTCAACGAATGGAATACTTTAACCTAATGTTGGAAACTATAATTCGAGCAGCAGATTTAAACTGCACTGGCACAATATTCTACAAAAGTGTAATGCGGCTTGCGTATGTCGATGATATTGAGATCATTGGCCTAAACGACCGTCTGCGGATAATTTCCAACTTAAAAAAACAAGCAAAGCAAATGGGTCTTGTGGTAAATGAGAATAAAGCAATGTACTTTTTGTCAACAAATAAATCTTCTGAGCGTCTTGGGACCTGTTGACTGTTGACAGTTATAAGTTCGAAGTTGTGAAAAACTTTGTTTATTTAGAAACCAGCTTAAACATAAAAAATGACGTCAGCCAAAAGATTTAACGAAGAATCACTATTGCCAATATATGTTACTTCGGGCTAAGTAAGCAATTGAGAAATAAAGCCCTCTCTTGACAAACAAAAATCACGTTCTACAAATCTCTTATCGTGCCTATCCTGCTGTATGGTGAAGATGCTTGGACAATTACCAACAGTGATGAGAAGGCATTAAGAGCATTCGAGATAAAAATTCATCGAAAGATCTGTCGTCCATGATGCATTGGCGGCGAATATCGAATTAGATGGAACAATAAGCTGTATGAGCTATATCGCGAGATTGACATAGTTAAGCGCGTAAGGCTACGACTCGGCCAAGGAGGACTCTCGTCTGTAATGGCCAGCTAAGTAAATAAGTTGCATGTTTCTGTGGAATGAAATATATAAAAAAAGAGAAAAAAAATCCTAATGACTTCACCAGAAACTTTTACAAACTTCACCACAAAATCTATGTCTACTCTTGGGTTGTATGTGACTAGTGCTTGACAAGTATTCTGGAGAACAAACTCCAAAAAGAAATTAAATACTGTATAATGAGGAGACGCCAGAGATGGATTGGGCACACACTCCGTAAAAGCTCCATTGAATGGATGTAGGTATTAATGTATCAAGAGCCGACTTATGGAGAAAGTCGGTGTTATCAGACCTTGACTCCACAGGACTGAACTGGTCACAATTAAAATTTGTATTTCTAAATAGAATACTAGATCGTTATTGGATTGGGGCCTTATGGTCCAAAATGGAATGAATAAAGGGAAAAAACTCTGTTTTTGTGTAGTGTATCAGTTTTGTTCATCTCTGTTCTTGCGAAATTTTGTTTTTTCTCCGTTTAAAGTATTTTTATTTCATCTGGCATGAGGTACTTAACATGCGTTCTTAGGTTTCTTTTGTCTTCTCTTCATGCTGTTTTGTTTTGATTCTGTGAAGCGTCTTTTAAAGAAGAGTCGTTGGTAGTGGTTTTAATTTTTATAAAAAAATTGTAATATTTATTATAAAAGATATAATAATTTTTAATAAATCAATAAAAATAATTTAATTTTAGTAAATTTTGGTAATTAATGAAGGTACGTATACTATTATTGATTTAATATATTATAATATATTAATATATATTATTATAATATATTAATACATGTTAATATAATATATACTATTACTGCTTGTAGATTTTTGATCGATTGTTATCCAACTTTTCACAATAACAGAACCATTATCTCGGATGTTTTGTGAAAAATTTCAAAGAAAGTTCGCGAAAAGATTGTGCATTGAATGTATAATAAAACACTAAAGTATATTTCCAATTACGTTATTTGGTAAAAATTTTCAAAGTTTTTTGTAATATTAGTGAATCTATTTTAATTTCAGATATTTACATTACTATTAAACAATAAATTTGGTGTAAATTTGTTCACACTTTTAACAGATGACTGGGGTATTCGTTGACTATTCCAATGAAGGTTCACAACAGATGGCTTAGGTGATTTTTTTTTCTACAAGCGTTAAGATGTTTGGCCACTTCATACCTAGTCGTTTAAATGGAAAGCTTTTTGTTGTTGTTTGTACGCAAAACAATAAGCGACTTTAAGCAAGCGACTTCTGTTTTTGCCTGACTTCGCACCGCACGAATACACCTTTTATTAAATTTGACCAACTAACAAATTGATAACATGTCTTTATTTACACTTTTTATTTGCTTATAATAGTTACAAAAAATCATTTATAACAATATAAATAAAAAAAACAAACTAAGAAAATAACATATTAAATTTAATTTTTGTTTTGCACTACAGGAAGGCACTACTTTATATGTAAGCTTACGCACTCCCAACAGCTCTGATACACTTTGACATTGTCCATTAAACCAACGACCTACTTTGTTATTGCTGTCTTTTGATACAATACATATATCGACATTTGTATTTGAATTCTGTATGAGAGCTAAGCTTAACGGAACCTTTGCGATACGTTTGTTGTATTCCAAATTGTCTTCGTATAAAATCACATTTTGGTCATCACGCAAATAAAGCAAAAAATCTGCAATATCTCCAGGTGAGGTAACAAACCATTTTACTGTTAAAATTCCATTATTGTCGCTTAAAATATAGATAGAAATATAAAATTAATTTAATTTTTAAATTACAAAATACAGTCAAAATTCCATAACTCGAAATACCATTTTGCAAAAAAAATGATCGGCTTATGGAGACTTCGAGTTAGAGAGTTTTTTTTTTTTTTTTGAAAGAAACTAGAATTACATTTTAAGATATTTATTTATTTATTTGAAATCAAATACTCAGCATAGAAGTTATAGTATTCTTATTGGCACATGACAATATTTTTATTTTTATTATTGTTCTTGTTCTTGTTCTTGTATCCTCTGGAACAAATGCGACGTTATTAAAGGGTGGAAGAACTCTTTACTCGCGTGCAAAATTTCCAAACATATTGCTGAAATCAAAACATATCGGATATGTACAAAATACCACACAAAAAGTCACTCAAGGCTTTTGATCGATCATGTAATATGTGGGTGGAAATATCAGACAATTTGGGAATGCAATAATATTGCTTACAGCAGCTTTTAGGCAAACATACCTATAATTCATCGATCGACGCCAGTGGATGAAAAAAATAAGTGTCTGAAACATTCTACTAGGTGAGCGACATTATGTGTCAATTGATCTGACACATTGAAAGAGAAATCAGTTGAAAAGTTGGTTTATAAAATTCAAATCACATTTAACAGTCACGATTGTTAAATCTGTGATCTATTCCTACCTTCTAGAACAAAGACGTCAGCCAACTTCAATATTATTCAATTTAACATCCTGTGCAAGACAGTCATTTATAAGTCGATCCATAATATGCTGAAAGCTTTAAAAGCGTTCATTTTTTTTTTTTGAGTCACTCGATTTATCAATGATACCACAGCATGTGTTACAATTAAAAATCGGCGTGCCAAATATCATCTTATGAAATCAATCAGTTTTCCAACGGCATGAAGTAAAAAAAAATTAATGATCAAATAAATTTATAAATCGGACTTTAAGACATCGATTGAATGTGTTTATATCACAGGTAAATATTTGGAATGCGTGTCATCAGAACATCACTTTCTTGCGATTATTGTTGCTTCAATATTAGCCATCAGTCTTTTGACAGCTAAACTAGTTCCAATAAACGTGAAATAATGTTGTGTAAAAAAACTGTGGCGTTCTAACTTTAAGCGCAATTTGTGAGGTGGAACCACTGATGCACATGTAGTTAAAAAATTTTAAAATTTATTTAAGTATTTATTAAAATATAAATCAATTCAATTTAAATCAATTCAGAATTTTTTAAAACTGTAAACAAATTAAAAGCATATTTCGGTCATCTATATCACAGTTTTTTAATCTCTGGTAGCTGCTAGCGTCACTAGTCAATAAAATGAAATATTGTAAAATATTATATTTTTTTTAACGATAGTATTATTTTGAAAGATGTTGGAACCGCGGATTGCAAAACAGATTGAATATTTTTCTGGTCGGTAGTACGTTTCTTGTTAAAATACCCTGACCTACATGAATTTGCAACCCATAAAACTTTTTTTTTTATTATGCATAAAATAGAAAAAATTCTTAAGAAGTGAACAAATAATTTATGTAATTCTAATACTGTTTTAGATATTATTAGTTTCTGTTTTGTTTACAAAATATTAAGGCATATTAGTTTCTTAAGTTCATAGTAACAATTGTTTTCCGCTTGTATTTTATCTCTAATGTCGCGTCAACGGTGTTTCTGTGAAGAATTAAATTTGCGCACCACCATTAATCCCGTAAAATGTAGCGTTGACTTATGAAACTAGTGATTTTAGATGCATCATGAATTTTGTCCCACTTATATTTAAGTGTACCTTCTGTTTAAAAAGTATCCGGATTTTGTTGTTTGTTAACTACTCCTTAAGTAATAGACCTTTTTTGTACCCTTTCTTAACATATGGTACAAATTTGAGCGCCATCTGTCAATTAGTTTGCTCAGGCACCATAGTCGCCAGATCTGGATCCGTGCGACTTTTTCCTGTTCCCGAAACTCAAATTGCCCCTTCGTGGTAAGCGTTTTGAGTCGATTGAATCGGTAAAAGAGAATTCGCTGAAGCAACTAAAAGCCATACCTTCACGGGCCTATGAAAAATGTATGGAAGATTGAGTTAAGTGTTGGGATATATGTATGTATCGCTTCAGAAAGAGCATATTTTGAACGAGATAAAATAAATTTGGAATAAAATTTAAGTTTGTGTGTTTTATTTACAAAATCCAAGTACTTTTTGAGCAGAAGGTATATCAAATTTCATCTTATGGTTTTCTATTTTCAGAATATTTCCATCAAGACCTATTCATTAATTCTCGCTAACTACCTTAAATCTATAAAACTGTTTGTTTGTGTACAGTTTTTGCTATAAGTTGCCTTGACTGTCTTCCCAAAATCTGCATTGGTATCTTAATATCTGTTCATCATTATCATTTTAATTATGTATTATGCATATTATTATATATAAGCCAAGGTAGATGTACAAAATAAGCAAACATTAACGCTTCCGGTAATTAAAATAGACTCTAAAGACATCAATTTCCGACTATAATATTTTAACTTATATTAAACTATTTAAAAAAATTGACCAAATCTATAAATTTTACTTTAATTGCATAGATCAAAGAGACTATTTAACAAACCTATACTAAACGAATGCTCGTTGATCGAACTGTTTAAGAATATATAAATTTGGCATGAAAGTGAAAATAAAGGGATGATGATATCCCGCCAGACTCAACAAACTGCTAAAAGAGTGTTAAAAGCTTTAGATATCTTAACATATTCTTAGCACCGTCACACTCCCTTGGTGTGACAATCTAAGACAGCATACAACCAGAATTTGATTTTCTTTGAACAATGCATAATAACAGAAAACATCTTAATTTTTGTAATATGTTTCGATTAATTCTAATAAATGAATTATAAATTATAAATGAATATATTGGTAATAAATCAAAAATATCGTTTTGTAATAAATAATCAATTACTTACATTTCAATATCGCGGAAGTTTACATCCATAAGTTCATCGTAATCAGTGCCGTTATACGTTTCTCTTATTTTCGGAGAACAAATTAAGTGTTTATCAGCAATACTTATTAATTGTTGGGTTTTTAGAGAGACCGGTGATTCGCAAAATATATTGCTCAGATCTTCACTCCATGAAGTATTTTGTAAATAGAAGTGAAGTAGTGGCCTTGCTGCACAGGTACACTCAAGCGGATTGTCATCGAATAATACGCGTGTATTATTTTTTAACAATCTAACTAAAGTTGAAGGAAACTCCGTTAACTGATTACTTTTTAAATTAATTTCCTCCATCCTTGGTTCTTTTATAAACTTTTCGAATGGCAATCGGTATATCTCATTATTTTGTAAGTATATTTTTGATAAATTTTTTGGAATATTAAAAATGTTTGGTTCCGACATAAGGTTAGTTAACTTATTGTAAGAAAGATCAATGGATTGCAACTCAGTAAAGTTAGCTAAAACGCCTTTGGAAATGAATAACAATGTTATTTTATTTAATATTATTTTCATTAATATATTCTTTTAAATATCTTCAAATGCTTATTTGATACTATCTTACCTTTTCGTAGTTCATTGATATGATTATGTGAAATATTAAACTCCAATAATTTCTTCGTACCAAATGTAATGTCATAAGTTAAAACAGGCATTTGATTGTAACTTAAGTCCAAATATTTCAAATTATATGGAATGTAAATATTTGACGGAAACGTCTTCTTTGTTACAAAGCTAATTTTATTGTTGCTTAGGTTCAACTAAAAAATTATTAAATAGACTTCGTCGTAACGTTATTAAAAATAGGAATCTTACATATTCTAAGCTGAGAAGATCATCCAGAACTCCATTTGTTTTATTGTCCAGTTTCGTAAGGTAATTGTGAGATAAATCTAATCTTCGCAACGATGGAAGACCTACAAATGCATCATTTGGAATATTTATGATTGAATTATGGGATAAATTTAGAGTAAGAAGTTGCAGAAGACCTTCAAAGGCATGTTTGCTAAACAAAAATAAATGTATATGAAAAAAATATTATGACAAGACAGTTATTTCTAGAATTATTTTTAAATGTATTCATTTGCATTTGGATTTATGTATACATACAATCAATTACATATCATATACAAGTTTCTTTTTATAAAATACTTAAAATACCACTTTTATTTTTTTTTTTTTTTGAAGAGAGTATAGAAATTGTTTGGGTTTGAATTAATTATTTTTGATTTATACATATATACAATTTATGTTACATATGAGTGTTCACAACTTTTAATAAATATATGAGTATATTTTTTTATTAATACATTATTTACTTATAAAATATATACATAAAATGTTTATGAAATTCACAAAACAAGTCAAAGGCCTCTTACGCGTATCTAATCACATATCCAGACTACTTTCCTACCACCCGTGCTACCAATTTAAATATGTATAGGCCAATAAATCATTTGTATATTCTGAATTTATTTACTTAGTTTATTTACAAGAAATAGAAATAAGTCTTATAATCTATTGACAATGGACCTAAAAACCATTAAAAGAGCTCAATTTTAATTATACATTGTTAGTTTGCTTCATCACGTAAACATATATTATATAATGTAAGGATATATATATCATAATGTAATGATATGTAAGGATATATGTATATGCATATAAATACTTTATAGGTCTTAATTATTTTAATGATTATCAAGTATCTCTAGACTTAGAAGGTTATGGATTTATTCGTATTACTATAAGACTTTTTCTGGTTCGATTCCTGGTACTTGCAGTCTCAAAAAATTTTTTACGAATAATTAAACACAAGAATTATTTCCAAGATCACTGATGATGGGTATTTAGCAATACTCGAAACAGCTGTATGGTCAGCCAAGAATTCAATTAATTAAAATAATATAAAACTGAATTTTTGTTGTAATAGAAATAGAAGCCTTTGGTGATCTTAAGCCGTTTATCAATACTCTGATCAGAAAAATTATTTGCCAGTAATTACACCAGTAATTTTTTTGAAAAGTCTCTAAAATTGACAGCAAATATTTATGGCGTTTTTAGAGTTATGTTACTAAGCTTTTGACTAGTCACTTGCCATTGAATTGAATTGTATCAAATTGAAAAATATATATTCATCTGCAGTTTTATCGTCAGATAACAATGCATTTACAGTCAAATATGCTATTATTTTGATGTTATCAATTTTTTCAAAACTGTCGCCAAATATAAACAAACAAATTGTGCAGAGGTGAAAACAATTCACACACACTGTCAAATCATACAAAACAGCTGTTAATTTCAGAGTAATATTGCTACTCTGTCAAAATATCTAGTATTATAAATTTATCTTGAGTGTTATACAGATTCACCCCAATCAAAAATGAAAATTGCACTAAAAGTGAATCTCGATTATAAAAATTATCTCAGATGTTCCAATCGAAAAGGCCATTAATTTGTTCGAAGATATTCGAAAATCTTTAAATTATTACTTCGTGATGTTTAAGCAATGTGAAAGAAAAAATTTAAATCTCTAGCCAAAATCTTGATAAAAAAAAATTACTTCAATTTTTTTTAGCAAGGTTAAGAGTTAAGACAGTTAAGTACCTCTCACACCGAAAAATTGGTGATTGGTGAGTCTGCAGTTAACTTGTTTTTTAAGTTTACGTGTTCACGATAGAATAGAATTTATTATAAAAAATAAATTGTCGTTATTTATAAGATCTTCTCTGGTATACGCTCTCATCCATCGCAACTCACATCATACTGGATTCATACGAGAATCACAATATAATTTTAAAATTACAATCAAAACTTTCGTGTGTGAATCCAATATATGGTGAGTTATCATGATTTAGTTAGTAATTTTGCTTTTTTTGCGCATTCGGCTTTTTCTTACAAAATTAAGTTTAAATGTAAATCGATATAAAAATTAGATATCCCTATTACGATTAATTGTAATTCATATAATATTGTATAGAAACATTGTAACTAATTTATATACATTGAAACAAAAGAATCAAAATAATGCTCCAACGGTTATAATTTTTATTTATGAAACATTTAATTTTAATGTGAAATACGAGAATATAAAACTTATTACTTACTTTATATCCTTTATGCCATTTTTATACAAATTTAATTCGAACAGGACTGGAAGTCTACCAAAAGCACTTTTCTGCAGTTCAGTAATATTGTTTTCCTAAATAAAATGGACTTGACCGTATTTGATATTAGAATAAATTTACTTTATTTACACAAACCTGTAAACGTAGATATTGCAGGGTCGATAGGCCTGCTATACTTTCAGCTGGAGGTTTTGTAATGCCATTGTTATTGAGCAAAAGCGTTTGTAACACTAGTAATCCCAAAAAACTACCGGATTGTAAGGAATCGCCAACTTTGTTGTTGTTCATGTCTAGATAAATCAACGAGTTC